AAAAAACAGCCATGCTTCCAGACTCCCACTATGATCCTTGATGCTGAAGGTGGGCCAGGTCTTCCTATGCTGCTGAACGTAATCGTAGGAGACGCTGCCTTCTGCTTCCATTTCCTATTTTCAGCTGTCAACAGCTTCAGCTCATCATGTCTCAAACTATCATATTTAATATCGGTCGTGTGAATTTGGAATATTGTCGAGATTCTACCTCTGTGCTGACGTCTGTCTCCATCCTGCCTGCCTCTCTTTCTTGGATGATGCTCAGCATTTTCTCTCTGTTGCGAAAGGGGCAGCAGCAATTTGCTTTCTTGCTGTGTTTACTTTATGTCTTTGCCCAATATCTATTTGTCATTCTTATTGCAAAATTTCCCTCTTTGAATTCTTCTTTGGGTGAGGCCTGTCCTTAGCATTCACTTTCTGGAAAGAGAAGAGCATGCCTGGCAGAACTAGGAATTTATGTTGCTGACTTTGAACCTAGCTACATAGCAAATAAAACATTCACACACCCATTAGAGACTGCAGAAACTTAAGGCTATCCAGTGAGTTTACATTCTTCAAAGTATTTCCAAAAGCATTATTTCTTCCAAGACTCAGAAGGGTAGTGAAGAGCAGGTGTCATTATCCTGTAACTGCACATAGGGGGTTTGGAAAGAGCACTGGAGATCTAGTTTGTATTTAAGGGAGTTCTGTCTGCTAGTGTGACTCTGGGAAAGTCACCATCCCTCACTTTTTCCCATGTCTTAAATACTGATAGACTATACCACAACATCTCCACTTTTTAGGTTAAGAGAAATATATGTAATGATGTATGCTTAGCCATTTTGCCTGTTTATGAGAAGTTTCACATAAAACAGTACAATTACAAAGAATTTTTGAGATCATGAGGCATTACAAGATCAAAAGAAATCAGGATTATTGCTACCGTGTTACTATCATCTATCATGAATGCCAAGGAGGGAGGCAGTTCTTGATGATCACACCTCAAGTCTTTCACCTCCCATTCCAGGGAAGAATCATGACGTCTATACTAGAACTGGTTGAAGACCCTAAGATACAGGCTCATGTCAGGAGACAGGGGCAAAAATGCACACACACACACACACACACACACACACACACAAACACACACATACACATACCCTTCCTGTTTCTAGGTGCAGGAGTAGGGTTTCCTCCCCAAGAAAGACAGGGAGTTCAGTTGCTGTCCAGCTTGGAGACTGGTGGAATAGGTGGCTGGCATGAGCCAAACAAATGGCAGCATAAGACCCTGCATATACCTGACCTACTCAGTCAGCTACCGTATAGCCAGTCTTGAGATCCACTAGGGGTGGCAAGCAAATTTACATTTCTTTCTCTTGCTTTCCTCTTGGGTTCCCATGGTCTCTCACTCATAGCTCCAAGACCAGGACAATTTTCTGATTCACTGAATGATTCCACTCTCCTGAAAGCACTCCTGCCTACCAAGTGATTCTCTCTGGCAAATAGCTCAGTGGTCACCATCTGGGAGCTTCCTCTCACTCTGCATTAGTAATTTTGTCACCGAGGCTAACTGTTCTTTAAATACCTCTGCATACTGGGGCACCACTAGACAGAGATATGCGGTGAGGACCAAGGTGTGGCCCTGTGAGTGACCTCGGAACGTGGCACGGAGGTTGAAGACAATCCTGAGCAAACAGGGAGAAAAATATATTTTTTGATTCAAAAGTAATAAGATGGAAACATCTTAGCCTCAAATCCAATTGCTTTCAGTAGGATAGTGATAGAACTGGCTTTGTTGATAAAAGCCAGCACATTTCCCTCCCTAATTACATCAGCTTGACCCTCTCTTCTGATTAAATGCTTATAATTTTTCTCCCAGCATGTAATTTTTTAATTATAATATGTTTGAAGAACATCAAAATTATTTGGCTGTTTGCAGAGTGATTGTTGACAGTCGAGTCAATTCACTTCTTCTCTGATGTGCCAGGCACCCAGTGGGTGCCTGAGAAATGATAATTGACAATAATGGCAGAGATGTCCTGTGGTTGGGTGATGGGCTCACAGGAGTGACGGGGAGGAGAAGGCTCTGAATTTACTGCTGCCGAATGCTTGCCTTCCCACACACTGGGATGGGATGGGAGAGAGGAGAAAGATGCTGCATTATTTAGCCATGAGCCTCTTTACCATTGAGAAATCTCTGCTCAAATGGCTCCAATTCATGACACCTTCCATTGGTTTTTCCTGTGTTTGAGAACTGGATATAGACATCTTGGAAGAGAGTGATTCCTCTTAGGAAATATTTACTTGTCACACTTGAAATAATCTTAACCAAATAAAAGATTTTTCTGGTCCCAAACCAAACACACACACAAACAAACAAAACCCAGATTTCTGGGGAAATAGAATGAGGTCAGAAGAGAAAAGATTTAAGAATAGATTTCCTACCAGGAATGTGCATCTCTGAATTGCAGAGTCCTGGAGAAAAGTGGTTTACCTCAAAAGACATATTCGCAAATTGTGCTCCACTGCTTACCGGGTGTGTAACTCTGAGTACTGTGCTCCCTAAACCTTGATTTGCTCACATCTGGTAGTGATAATAACACACTTACCATGTGCATGTGATGCTCAAATGAAATTAGTGTCACACACTCCACATAGTGAAAGTGCTCAGTGACAGCCACCAAGAGCTATTTTATCAGGAATTTCTCAGTCTAGGGGCAGCTCTCTTCTGAAAACTACAAGTGGTTCAAATTCTCAGCAATCGAGACCTCTTGGAGTCTGTCTTTTCTGGAAGATGATGGCTGAGCAAGATGACCTCTGGAGACTTTGTCTGGAGGGGCTGTGGGTCTGTACCTCTGCAGTCACGGCCTCTGCTTATGTTTCCTGCCTGTCTGGTCTGGGCACTTTCTGTTTGTGTTTTTGTTTTTCCTGGAGTCAGGCGTGTGACCCTTAGACCTGAAAAGGATACTGAATTGCCAATTGAATTTACCTAAAACTGGTGGAGCCTGAAATCCTGGCCCACATTGACATACAGCTAATCTAATACAAATTGATTTTGGTTTTAAATCTAAGCAAGTCAAGAAATTGCTGTGGCTTTTTTTTTTTTTTTTTTTTTTTCAGAACACAAAGGACTCTGCTGTGCTGGAATGGCAAAGCATTTGACCTGGGCTTCCTGAGTCCTCATCGCTGCAGTCCGATTCATGCTCCCTGTAGATGGGGCTGCTTCTCTCCGTCTGCTTTCCCTCCACCTCCCGAATGCTGATTTGGAGCCCCAACCCTCCTGCTGCAATTCCCCTTTCAGTGGCCCCTGGTGCCAGTTAGGCTCTGCCCTTGAAGCTGAAGTATGATCATTCTGCTTCTGAATTATTTCTAAAGCTGCATCACCACGCATTGCTGTTTCTGTACCTACCTGCCTGGGTGAGTTTTGGTCCCAGATCGCACTCGAGACTGACTTGGCTCCTCTAGAACTGGGAATCTGCCCTCTTGGGGGTAGCCATTTCCATGATCAGAGATTGATTCCCTGAATTCTGTGGCAAGGAGCAGAGCCCATCAACTTTCCTCATGCTAACCACCTGCCTACTACTTTTCCTTGCTTTGATATTCTGGACACCTTGATTTGGGGACTCTTCATTAGTACATCACCCATCTCAGCTTCACAAATGCCACTCTCCTGCCTAGACCAGCTGTGGCTATCTAAAAAGAATTATCCAAAAGCTTTTTTACTGTCTCATTCAGAAAATAACTTCAATTTTTAGATGTGAAGGAAAGGACAGGACTCTAATATGACCATCTGGGGAGACAGGGCAAGAAATATCACTATGTCAAGTGTTTGTCACACAGTAGGTGTTATGTCCTCTTTTGAGAATATCTCCAAATGTAGCCCAATAACGCTTTCCTGGGAGTTGGAAGAATTAAATGAGAAAATGATATATGATGACCATTTGCCACATGCTGACTAGTGCTGTGGTTTTTAAAACTTCTGAATCAGCAGGGTGGGAGCAAGATGAGGCCACAGGTGAGTAGCTCCCTGAGGTGGAGCAGGCCATGCAGAAGGGCACAAGTCTCAGTGAGAAGCCCAGCCCCACAGCCAGTGCTCTTCATCTGGAAACTATGGTAACAGACGGTCAGCTTCAGCCTCCGTTTGGAAATCCAAATGAGTAGACAGGTAGACAGAAAGTCAGCAAGGGGGTGATTAAAAGGTCTTGGGTCTGCAGCAGGGATAAGGATTTCAGTCCTTGTTTGTGTTGGACTATGGTTCTTAAACTCTAAACATGGAGTTTTTGTGTCATCACCTACACAGCTTTGGAATCATGAAGTCTTGAGCAGAACATTTTTAAATAAGCCCTTTATACGATTCTAACATAGGTAACTTGTGGGCCATTCTTTGGAAAGCTTGAATGCAGAGAGATAGGCAGTTCTAGGACTGGGGAGACTTGAGTTATTCAGGAAGTTAATCAGAGAAGACTGCTGCTGAAGGACTCTATGTGCAAGGGTAGAAGTATAGCTTTCAAGAAACAAGTACCCCCACCCTTTTGGCTGCTGGGGAATCATGCCACTTTAAAGAGGCTAGAATAAGCTTAAAAACTTGTATCAAATGCACATAAACTCTTTTTCTAAAATCAAGAACAATAATGAGTCTTTCCCTGAAGTTGGAGACCCTTTGCCTCTTTCCCTCATCTGTGCATTGGGAGAGGCAGTCACTCCTCTGTCTGTGTATCAGGCTGCGACTCCCTCTTCTGTTGCCCCAACCATCATCTCACTCCTGAATTCAAGAACTACACCTACCTAAGAATCCTCTTAAAAACTGATTTATACAATGTCTAATTCATCATCCTTATTTTAATCTCTAAATTAACTTTCTCTCCTAAGTTCCTATTCTCCAAAGGATCAAGAAAGAAAATGAGGCTCCCTTTTTGTATCTGCATGCCACAGACAAGAATACCAAGAGCTTATGTGGCTGAACCGTATTTCCCACTATGATACTGGTAGAGAGGTAGTAGTTACCTAACCAGTTCACTCACCTGCAAACAAAGGCTTGAAGATTGCATATCATTAACACCAGGGGCGGAGAATAGGCTCTGAATGCTGATTGCCAGCTTAGGGTTCTTCCATTGTGTTTGTTCCTCATGGGTGACTTCAGTGTTTCTGGTGTGGTTTGCAAATGGGAAGCAGAGAATTATAGAAAGGACCCAAAGTGCCTAGCGGATAACTGAACTCCAGAAGTATGAGGGAAGATTCCATCACACGAAGTCATCTCTAATAATGGCTTGATGCAGTGCCCACAATTCTTCCATTAGCATTTTGTTCCTTAGAAAATTTATTTTTAAAAGATCTCTAGTAATAATTCTCCTGAACATTTCCTCAAATGTTTTTTTTTTTTCACAGTGCTGGGGATTGACTCCAGTTCCTTGTACATGATATGCAGAGCCTTTTCCACTGAGCTCATCCTTGGCCCAATATCACCAGCTTTAAGCAGATAAACCATTTTTTTCCCCGAGCTTAGGAGCTCCTGTGCTAAAACATTTATAGAAATGGTACTTCACCATCAGGATGTTAAAAATAATTTGTAAGAGTGGAAAAAACTGGAAAACAGCCTAAATGCCTATCATCCTCAATTATAGTGATTCTACACAGCGAAATGACAAGGAAGCTGTTAAAAAGAAGAGATAGACCTATATATTCTGATGTGGAAACACATCCAGACACATCATTAAATGAAAAAGCCAACTAGCAGGAGAACATCTATGGTATAGTTAGTTCTAAATGTGCTTAAAATGTACATTTATATGCTTGTATATGCATAAACTAGTTTTGGAAAGATATGTAACTTTTGGCCTGGAAATTGGGACTTAGAGTTTCCAATATGCATATTAGATTTCATTCGATTCTTTTCTGTACTGTTTCTTTTTTCCTGCAATGAACATCTGATGATCTTTGAACAAAAGCTAGTTTTAAATGAATGAAAATAGCTTCATTCAGGTACCACTGGTCTTTATTAGCATCTTGGCAGATGTAGTATTAGTTATTACTTGCGTCCACAGTGACAAAAACCTCAGAAGAAGAATACCTGAACAGGTAAATTCGGGTATGGACCCAAGCATAAGCAGGAAGAACCCATTTTTGGGTTCTTTTGCTTGGAATCAGTGAGTTATAAAGATATGGCAAGTTCTAACATTTGACAGGGAAATGCCATTTGGTGGGGAGAAAGTTGGACAAGGCAGCTAAGAGAAAAGACTCCTTTTCCATACTTTTATTAGGTCTTCTTAGGAATGTAACCTAAATGGCTCCCAGCGGGCTAACTAGTTCAGTCAGCTACTGAAGGAGAAGGATTTTTCTTTGAGAGGTGGGAAGGCTGTTATTTGGGTGGGTCAAAGACTCTGATGAAATCAGCCATGTTGTTGCTCAGTCCTCTATTTCCAGAATCTGGGCAGGAGACACAGTACTTACAGTCCCGAGGCGCTGAAGTCGGAAAGGTGGGGTTTGGGTTCTAGCTCTGTTGATTAATAACCAGTAACCTGTGTACAATGAAGGAATCAGATTAGATTTTCTCTAAATTCTCTTCAAACTCCAAGCCCCGTTATAACTGAGACAGAGGCATGAAAACCTGTGAGGGCTTCCTACTGTCTATCTGTGGCTTAAACAGACTCCAAGAATAAAATGTCTGCACTCCTAACCCCCTTCTTGGTACCAGGAGCTAAGGCCCGTACTCATGTGCACAGGAGCCTGGGTGCTGGATTTGAACCCTGCTGTGATGATCCTGCTGTGCTCCCAGATGAAAGATGAGTCCTCAGCTCCTGCTCCAGGGCCCTGCAGAGGTACATGGTGCAGATGGCCACTCCCACTCACCCAGAACACAGCAGCCACTATCTGACAGTCACAACTAATGAACCTGCAACCCCACTGGGTTCTCAGTATGCACTTGGGAATGCAATTTAGGTGGCCTTGGCCAGGCTGTCTCTTGGTTTACAAATCACTCTTGCTTTCTGTTTTCCCTGAACTGAGGTGCCCTCCCTGCTCTACCCGGTCTTCAAGGAAGGTGGGTGGCAGCCGGAATTGATATCAGAGTGAGGGGTCACAGGTCAGAGGCGAAGACTCTTTGGATCAAAACCAGGGCAAAGTGGAAGCATAAACGCATGGCTGCCTGGAGACTCCAGCCTCCTGTTAACCCTGCAGCAGCAGCCTAACGGGCTCTCCCCTGGGTGGTCCTGCTGAAGTCCACAGTTTGGAAAGTGTCAAAGGGCTCTCACGGGTAAATACAGTGCTCCGGCCAGCAGAGGCCATGTGCACATGAAGGCAGCCAAGAATTCCTGGCTCGGGTTTCTCTCCTTTGCTTACTCAGGCAAGCCTCTTATGGACAGAACGACGTGTTCCTCTCAGCTACCAAGGGAGCCCAAGCTCCTGAAGTGCCATTGACTTCACTTCTGCTTCATCCTTCATCCAATCAGCCACTGCTTCTGTGAATTCCACTCCTAAAAGGCTTTCAGATCTATCCACCTCTCTTCACCCCAGAGTGGTGTAGCCTCTCGTGCCAACTGGCCTTCTTGTATCAACTTGCTCTTAAAAACCCATTCTTGCTTTTACAACCCTAATATCTAAGCTGGTTCCATGGACAGAGTGTCTGGTTACCATTGTTATTCAATAGTTAGCTGCATTACATTTTTTTTTTCATTTGCAGTTTTCACTGTAACTCTCTGAAATAGCAATATGATTCCCACATGCAGACAAGGAAACTGAGGCTCAAAGTGGCTAGAAGAGTCCCCAGGGCACACAGCTGAGAGTTCCTGAGTGGAAATCTGGGACAGGGTGGTGGCTAGGAAATGAGGAGCAGCATAAAGAATTTTAATTAGTACTCTGTGACTGGTGGAGACACTACTTTTTATTTGGAACTGTAATGTGGAGCCTCGCCAGAAAGGACATCAGGATTGTCCATCTGCAAACCAGGATGGGGCCGTCAGTAGAGCAGGCTGGTGGAATATGATTGGAGATAAATGAAAGATTCCGATAAATGAGTGGAGGTGCAGAAAGCTGTTATCAGATGAAGGCTCTGCACCTTAAACGTGCCTACTTACGTGAAGGAAATGGCTGAGTTTTTGTCGCGTTGCAATAAAATAATTTTTACATCGTGCCTGATTGAGCCTGCCTTACCCCCAGCCATCACCCAGGAGCTGAGAGAAAATAATCTCGTGATTGCAGAAGTGTGGCTGAAGGTGCAAAGCTGCTCAGCCCTGTAGGAGTGAGATTTATTTGCAGCACCATCCTTGTTTTCAGAAGCCCTTGCCTCCTGTCGCAGACTCATCTTCCTTGCATGCAGCAGAAGAGGGAGGGAGGAAGATCCCCTCCTTCTGGGTTGATCTGTGATCCTGGCAAAGCTCCCTGCCTGCCCTCTCAGGCTACTGTCTTGATCCTTGAACTCTTGCCTTTCAGTCACATAGTACATATTCCTCTTTCTCACTCACTCATTGAAAGCCAAGCGCGTGGCCACCAGGTGCAGTGAAAGACACCACACAGGGCTGGGAGGAGAACAGCCCCTGTGTCCTGAAGAGCTCTGACTATTGAAGAAGAAACTGTTGAGCAGTTGCAGTGCAGTGATAAGCACTGTGGTCTGAGGCTTTTCCGTGTAGACTTAGAAGACAGATCATTCATGTGCAGAAAGGAACTAGGATCGGGAGGGTGCCCCACAGCTGGGTCCTGACTGGTAGAGGCTGGGACGGCCCAAAGGAGAGGACAGCAGCAGGGCTGGTCCAGGCAGAGATGGTGAGGTTTGAGAACGTGGGCATATCTGAGAGCAGCAAAAAGTTAGGTGCGTCTGACTTATAAAAATATTTTGTATATTCACTTTGTTATCTGGGAAACACTCATTACTTAACACTCATTAGCTGCTCTTGTTGCTGGTGCAATGGGGCAGACTTAGAGCCAGATGTCCAGGGCCCCCTGGGTTGCCCTTGTCTGTGTGTATGGAGACATGTGAGCATCCCTGAACTCATTTTTCACGAGGTCCTTGGCTGTACTTGGACAGCTTCATGATTACGTTTGTTTACTTAGATGCTTTTAATGCTCTTGAGCTTTAATCATTGGTGTTGTCCTTCTAAACTGTACAGTCAAACTCCCAGTGACGCTCCTGTCTTCTGGTCACATCTTATGTATTTAGCCAGCAACAAGTGCTGTGTCGTGAGACCCATGTCTCTGAGGGCGTCCCTTTCCTCTTTACTCTGGGCTCCCTTCCTGGAGGAAGCCTCTAGAAGCCTTGCAGTTCCAGGTCCCTGTCACTTCTGGACACGTCCTAGCTGCATAAACAAGCCCATCATGTCTGACACAAGGTCCTGGAAGTGCACAAGGTGGGGATTCTGCAGTAACTACACCGGTGATGTGGACACGGAAGCATCATTCGAAGTTTGCTTTCAGTTGAAACTGAGACAGTCTCTTCCTGGGCATCCCTAGACACTCAGTTTCCCAAAGCCAAACTTGGGGAGAAACTACACTCAACATGACCAAGCTTTGCTCCTTGAAGGACAGCTGTGCCTGCTCAAGGAAGTGGGTGGGGATGTCTGGGAGCACCTGCCGCCCCCTATCTAGTGGCTGCCTGACCCCCTGAGTCCCCACCACAGACGGGATTTGGGGGAAGCAAAACTGAATTAATCCAGGGAAACTTTGAACTGTAAACCTCACTTCTCCTGGCCTGTGCTGCTACCTGAGCCAGCTGTCCTCTGTCCCGCTAGGGTCCCCTCAGCCACTGCTCTGAGGATGATCTTTTTCCTGTGTCATCCTTTGTTCCTTCCTTTGCCAGCAGAGCCCTGCTTCTCCAGGGAGATGGGTGTCTGCAGAGCAAGCTCTTGTGGCCCAACAAGGCTGCTTCCCAGCTCTCTGCCCAGACCCACTGCCTGAATCCTGCTTCCCAAACCTGGAGTCTGGGTTATTTCCCTTGTAGTTCTTGCACAAGGTCACTGTGAGGACATTTCTCACTGAAGAGGCCAGTGTCCATAGCATGGTAAAGGCTCTTCTTGAAAAACCTGTCCCCAACTCCTTGTCTCCAGCTTTATCTCCCACTACTTCCTGCCCAGCCCCTCCAGACACCCCAACGCACACACTTACATGCCCCAACAGGCTGAGCAGGTTCCTCCCTCAGGTGACATTCACGCCATCCCTCCTGCAGGAATACAGTCTCCTCCAGCTCCTCCTCACCCATGCAGGCTCACTTGGGACGGGACTCGCCATCAGAACAGCCCTGCTTCCTGAACCTTCAGGAGCCCTAAGCCTGAGTAAGGAGATAAGACACTGTCCATCAGCCAGTGACAGAGTAAGGGTCGGAAAAGGAAAGAGACGCAAGTGTTACAAAAAGCATAGCCTCTCAGTGCAGATAGGACAGAGAGGTGGGAAGTGAAGGTCTGTGAGGAGGTGGAGCGTTAGCAAAGTTAGAGAAGAGGGAAGAGAACAAGGGTGGAAGGTTGAGCACACGGAAGTTCGCCTTGCAGGTAAGGCTCATGCAAAGTACAAGAGACTAGGCCATGCTACAGACGGGTGTGTCTTTGTTTTTCTATCTCCTCTAAGGCCCTTTAGTTCTTATAATCCAACCACTTGGTAAACCACCTAATACATATGGCTATGTGTCCCTCAAATTGCTCTTCAGGTGTTTTTAGAAGCCAGAATTTTTCTTGTTACAAAACAATTTAATTGGAGAAAATTTGGAAAAAACAGAGAGGCAGTAAAATTTAAAAGTCACTCATAAATCTACCACATGAAAATAACTACAGATTGGTATTAAATCCCTTCTCCCCTTTTCCACATCTATAATTCAAAGCCAGCCTGGAATAGGTAGTAAGTTCAAGGCCAGCATGAACTATATAGCAAGACCCTGTCAAAATACAAAAATAACTAGAATAGGCTGCATATAATTTTAGTTATATCATCATAGCTATCATCAGCTAAAATAATACTATGAACAGCCATTTTGAAGGAGGAACAGTTAGCAGAATATAATGAAAAGAACACACCATCACTGAATATTTCTTTAAAATAATTGTTAATGGCTATATAATAGTCCAATCTACAGATTTAAGTTTGTATTTCCTAGTGGTCATTTGATAGGATGTTAATAAAGGATTTATTAATAGCATAAACTAAGGTTTTTTTCTGGATTCTGTCTTAGAAGAGGCCCAACATGGATTTTCTGTCTTCACAATGGGGCTATAGCAAGCGGTAATTTCCAAATAGATTGACATTGGGTCTATTTTTAAGTAAATATCTCAAGAGACTCATTTTCTACAAAAGTTTAGGAAGTGCTGGTTTAACCTTTCTCTCGGAGTAAGACATTTAGATTGTCCCCAGTTTTTCTCACTATTATAAATAATACTTTGATAAAGATCTGTGTACTTAAAGTTCAGACTGCCATTTTCATTATTTCTTCAGGGCACGTTCCTGGAAGTCGAATTTTAAGGTTTTAAGGTCAGAGTGAATGATATTTTTAAATTTTACTATTTTTAAAAGCATAATGTTTACATTCTCATTCTCTCTCCGTCTCTGTGGCTCTCTCTGTGTCTCTGTCTCTGTCTGTCTCTCGCTCTCACTCTCTATCACCCTCACTCTCACTCTCAAGCTCCACAATTGCGCTATGCACGTTTTGCATCTCCCTAGTATATATAGTCTTGTGCCCTTTACTTAGAAAGTCCTTAGCAAATTTTTGATGATGGCAAGAACTAAGATTAAAAAACAAGAAATACCAAGAGAAAGGGTAGGTTCTGAGTAAAAAGGATTTGCATATTCAGAAGAAAGTGGAGTATAAATTGGGCCTCAATTTGGACTATTTTGCATCAAACAGCCTGAGTTTGCAGTTGTGTCTCTCATCCTCTGTGTTGACCTTCATTGAGTTACAATGCTAGTAATTCCTAACTTGGATCTGCAGCAAGCATTGTGTCACTAAATATGTACAAGGCTTCTAGCACATGTATGGTACACGGAAACACTGAGATGAAAATGGCTGTTCATAGTATTATTTTAGCTGATGTGTAGGGTCCATAGGGAAGGTGGACATTTTTTTAAGCAGTTGAAAATCTTCTGGGAGTTGTACAGGATCAGAATGAGTAGGTGCTGATTTATACAAAGCCTGCAGAAGAGATCTCCAGTGTCTGGGACACACAAGCGGGTAGCCCCGCTAGAGATGGCTACGATGGCAGGAAAGGGAGCCATTGTGGAGGGAAAGTGGCCATGTAATCAGCGACCGCATCAAGGGTAAAAACTCAAACTTGTTTTGGCATGATTTTCATTCAGATCTCCTCTCCCATCAGAACACTCCATTTGGATCCTATTTTCCATGCCAGAGCTAATCGGCCATCTTTCCCTGGACATGATAGGGCGGCAATCAGCCTGGCTCTTACCTGTCTGTTCCCCATCACTGCCTAACTGACAGCTGGCACTCACTGTACAGACACTGACTATTGCAACTCTGAGGTCTGGCACCTCCTTGTACCTGCATTCATTTCCCTTTCTCAAAGAAGGCTTGATCCCCCATTGTTGAGGCCGTTACTACAATGTCTATGGATTTCCTGGGTTCACCCAACCTAGAATCAAAATCTTGGCCATCTGATTGCCACTGCAAAATCCAAAAAGTCCTGCGACTTGACAATCAGAAGTGAATGCAGAGTCCTAGGGGCTGACAGCGCAGGCTGGGTCCCAGTCCTCCTTCAAGCGCTTGTCTCCACCTCCTCTTTCCCCATCACTCTCAGAGTTGCTGGGAGTTAGCGAGTGTTAAAAATCCTTAGATCTATTTGGAGGGAAGGCCAATTTACTGTGATTACATGCAAGGTAGCATTCAATTAGCACAAGATAAACACAACATATCACCCCACTATGATAATTTTTAAATCAAAAGTTAGAGCACACGTAAGCTGCTGTGATAATAATTTACTAATTTAATGATGATGTAGCTTTTTAAGATCTTGCCATCCCCTCAGAATGTCTATAAAGGACACCCCTAACATTAATTGGAGTTTGCTTCATTAACAACTTAACCAAAAGACCACACTTTGTGAAATTATTTGGGAACCTATGAGGGATAAGACTTGATGGAAGTAAATTACCATGAGCATCTTTCCCTTCAGTTAATGAAGGGTGTGATGTATAAATCATTAGCAAGGGCCATATGGTGACAGTCAGTAAAAGAAAAGGGAATTTGGAGTTTATATATGGGAGCAGGGCAGATGGCTGTGAATAATGTGCAAAGGCACATGCCTCTTCAGACAGGTGCCCCTTGTGGCAGTGAAGGTACACTCCACCCCATGAATGCCAGGGCAGTTTTGTTTGACAGACAGCTGTTGCTTACACCTCTGGGTTCTGCCTGATAGAGTCAGATTCACCTCCAGTGGGTGTTAAAGCTTTGGCAGAAAGGAAGTGCTTAGGAATTCATGATAAATTCAAAAACCTCCACTCCAGTTGGAGGGATGGCACTCAGCTCCAGCTCCAGTTCTTCTGTCCCTAGAAGCTGGCTCCTTGGAAGCTGTGTGCACTGCTCTACAAGCTCCCAAATGAACCTGAGATTCCAGAGGCCAAGAGCCCCTGACACCCAGGGATAGCAACTCTCAAAGGTTATTCTCGTCAAAACAAGCAGAGGTTCTTTAAAAATACTATACTAATTCCTGGCTTCTTCTCCCAGATACTTCATCTGTGTAGGGTATAAGCTGAACATTGAGAGTTTAAAAAGCTTCCTCTGCCCAAGTAATTCTGACATGCAGCAAAATGTGGCCATTGCCAGCCCACTGGCTGCTGGCAAGGCTGCTGACCGTGGACAGGTGGGGTAGAAGCAGCAAGACCTTTAGAATGAGCAGTGCTGGGTTTGAATCCCATTGCCACTACTTCCTTTACATGCCTGTAATCCCAGCACTCAGGAGGCTGAAGCAGAAGGATCCACAGGAGTTCAAGGCCAGCCTGGGATACACAGAAAGACCCTGTCTCAAAAAATAAGCACACAAGAAACAAAACTATGAACAATGTGTGCAGAACACCGCCAGTACTTGCAGTGCTTCTTCGCACGTCCTCTGTTAACCCAGCACTGTTCTAGCCACTCTACAAACACATCTCTGGCATTGGCTGGTAGATGTGTCAGGAAGGATCTCCTGGCACGAGTAGGAACAGAGTAGCTGTTCTAAGAAATTCCACTAACCCAGAGCACATGCTCCTCTTGTCAAGAGAATGCTTGCCTGTTTTCCAAGCAGTCAGGACATGACCTGATGGGGGGCGGGGGGAAGATCGTACTCAGCAAAGAGCTGATCACAAGTTTTAGATCTACACTGCCAAGCTGACAGAGTGTGGGTGCATTTTTTAACTGTTGTTTTAAAATCCATTTCCTCATTATATGATATAAAGACAGCTACCTGACTGGGTATAAAGATGACATGAGATAATACATGTAAAAGTGCAGATCCTGGTCCCAGGTATACAGCAAGAACTCAGTAAACAGTTTGCTGAATTATACATTCTAAATAGCCAAGAAGGAAAGTGACTTGGGGTATTTACTTGCAGGAGCCTGGTTGCTAGGTTTTCTGTATTCTCAGATAACACAGGAACATCAGCGAAATCCCATTTCCCAGCAACCCCAGGTCTCGTGAGCTCTTGAAGTCGGATATTCATGCCCACGTGGTACTGTGCAGCAAGCTGACCACTCGGTGGGAGCTGGGAAAACCAAAGGGTCAGCAGCAGCCAGCACCACCCTGCAGTCTAATGGGCCCCCATCCCATCAAGGAGTGGTCAGAGAAAGCAGAGCCCAAATCTCTGCTTGCACCAATCCTCTCTGCAGAAATGACCACCCCTCTAACTAGGAAAATCGGTGGACTTTTCTCCCCTCCCATATCTAAATAGCTATGTGAATGTGCTCTGTAACAGGAGGAGCTGGTGAACAAAAGGTCAGAGCTGATCTGAAGCTAGGCTTTGTACCAGCAATTGCTTTTAAAGATGCAATCTGCCCAACTCTGAGCCCCTGAAGATAAAAAAAAATTATATAAATGTACAAATGGCTTTATAGCTTTGATTATGCAACTTCTGAGGAAATATCCATATGAACTGTTGAGGAGGACTAAAGATAGTGTGATAAAGAGGGCTCTTTGAAATTCTGCTTTAAAAAAAAAATCTATGTCATGAGATATGAATGTAGCCAAAGCCTTGATAAAAGTCATGTCATCCTTTTGCCATAGAAGCTGCTGAGGCATGAAAGGGACCACAGGCCTGGAGATCTTTGCTGCCTTTCAAGTCTGGCTTATTAACATGCATTAGAGTCTTCCGGAAGATGGCTCTGGCCAAAGGTTATCAACAGAAACTTAATTTAATGAGCCCAGAACATGGGGAGAGGAGCCCTGAAAAGCCAACACTGAGAGGAATTTGGGGCAAGGGCATTTCATTTTCTGAAGAGGAGAAACAA